CAATAAAAACTTTTTATTTTTATTATCCAGTAGAACTTTTTATTAAAAAGTTCTACTGGATTCACTTTGTATTCACAAAGGTAGGCAGCATCTTGACAAAGCCATGATGGCAATTATTTTACATTATTATGGTATCGGTATCGGCCGATACTGTACAGCCAGGTATCGGGTATTGGGGCCAATAATGGCATCGGCGCAACACTAGTAAAAACTCCCCCTTCAGCCCCGCTCTGCCCAAAACATCCTCTAAGGTGGGAAACATTTCCAATGATCCCCGCTCCACACGTGCACCCCACAGTTCCAACTTTGTCCTAAATCCATATTTATTTTTTCCCTCGCACCGCGCCTCCCTTAGGGTGCTCTGGCACCCCCTAGGGGAGGCGCGCCTCACACTTTGAAAACCGCCGGCTTAGAGGACCCCAGCATCCCGTCATCAGCCATGACAGCAATGCCATCATGGACAGAACCAGGGTCCTGATCCACAAGGAGGAGGCTCCAAGGGTCAGATGGGGATCAGGTACAGCAGCAGATCATTGATGGTGTATGAAATGTGGGAAACGCTTTCTAGCCCTTCTCACTCCATGTCAATGGGGTTAGGATCCAGAATTATTTCCCAGGTAATGCAGGAGCCTGTTGTTATGGAACGGTCGCTGTGGACTTCTGTTATTTTATACTCAGCCATAAGAGGGAAGAACTGAGCACCATTAAACCGTTTGATCTGTGGCGGTTTCTCCATACGCAAGACTTACGTTATCTTTCTCTGGGTTGCAAACCTTCACCCACAGGATGTGATCCAGCAGCCAGTCGATGGGTTTATCCTTGTGAAACATGAGGAAGAATTCCACGATCATTGGAAGGTCGCTGGTCTTAAACATCTTCCCTGGAAAACACAAACACAGAAGCTAAGGCCCAAGCTAAGCCTAGCCTAAGAAAGGAGATGTCCTGCAAACGCACCAATGAATCCCAGCTGGGAGAACTCCAGGTAGAGCCATTCGCTGGGAGCTGCTTGGGTGACAAACGCCTTCATGTCGCTATAGTAACCAGTCTTTGCAACCACATCGTCCTCCAGCTGGAAAACACACGGATGTTCAGAGTTATTAGAACTGAGAACCAGAGCATGACAGGGCATGAACTGATGAAGGCTGAGGAAAACATCAGAGTTCTATTCTCTGTCCTAAAGGGTTAATAAAATAATAAACACATTGAAAGAATAAAGCTGTACTGCAGATTTATCATTCAGAAAGGCCATTTCTCAACCTGTGTACTTGTGCGTTCTCATGTCATCAGCCTCAGCCCTAGTACTGTTCCAATTCACTAGAACAGCAGAAAGAGAATGGACATTTTTTTTCGAGCTTCACTATATGGACCATTTACTGATTTAGTGCATAATTTAAAAAAAGTTCTGATGCCTGTCTGCAGCAGCCGGGGCTAACGTTAGCCGGTCTGCAGGACCCGGGGCTAACGTCAGTTGGTTTGCAGAAGCAGGAGCTAACGTCAGCCCGTCTGCATCAGCCGGGGCTAACATCACTGTGTCTGCATCAGGTGGGGCTAACGTCACTGCGTCTGCAGCAGCTGTAACGTCACTGCGTCTGCAGCAGCTGTAACGTCACTGCGTCTGCAGCAGCTGTAACGTCACTGCGTCTG